GCATTTTTTCCCTTCCCACCCCGCTCCCCCACTCCCTCATGAACCCTTGATAATTTATAAATTATTATTATTTTGTCATATCTTACACTGCCCGACATCTCCCTTCACCCACTTCTCTGTTTTCCGTCGCCCAGAGAGGAGGCCATATGTAGATCCTTGTAATCGGTTCCCCACTTCTACCCCACCTTCGCTCCACCCTCCCAGTATTACCACTCCCAGCACTGGTGCTGAGGGGTTTATCTGTCCTGGATTCCCTGTTTCCAGTTCCTATCTGTACCAGTGTACATCTTCTGGTCCAGCCTGATTTGTAAGGTAGAACTGGGATCATGATAGTGGTGGTGGTGGTGGTGGGGGGAGCATTTAGGAACTAGAGGAAAATTGTGCTTCATCGTTACTATGCTGCTGCACCCTGACTGGCTCATCTCCTCCTAGCGACCCTTCTGCAAGGGGATGTCAGTTGCCCACAGATGGGTTTCGGGTCCCCAATCTGCACTCCCCCTCCTTCACAATGATGATTTTTTTTCCCTTGATGCGTGATACCTGATCCCTTCGACACCTCGTGATCACACAGTCTGGTGTGCTTCTTCCATGTGGGCTTTGTTGTTTCTCAGCTAGATGGCCCTTTGTTTACCTTCCAGCCTTTAAGATCCCAGACACTGTATCTTTTGATAGCCAGGCACCATCAGCTTTCTTCACCACATTTGCTTATATACCCATTTGTCTTCAGCGATTATATCATGACGGTGAGTGCACAATGATATGATTTTTTTTCCCTTGATGCGTGATACCTGATCCCTTCGGCACCTCGTGATCACACAGGCTGGTGTGCTTCTTCCCTGTGGGGCTTTGTTGCTTCTCAGCTAGATGGCCGCTTGTTTACCTTCAAGCCTTTAAGACCCCAGATGCTATATCTTTTGATTCCATGGGTGGTTTTTTTTTTAAATTCCATCCAGAATCCAAAGATTTTTAAAATTTTCTAATTTACCGTATATACTCGTGTGTAAGCCGAGTTTTCCAGAACATTTTTTTTAATTGTTTTTTTGGGAGCTCATACTACTCTTATCACAATCCACACATACATCCATTGTGTCAAGCACTTTTGTATATTTGTTTCCCTCATCATTCTCAGAACATTTGCTTTCTACTTGAGCCCTTGGTATCAGTTCCTCATTTTTCCCCTCATAATTTATAAATTATTATTATTTTGTCATATCTTTCACCATTCGATGTCTCCCTTCACCCACTTCTTCACTGTCTCCCCCAGGTAGGAGGTTATATGTAGATCCTTGTAATCTGTTCCCCCTTTCTCCCTCACCTTCCTTCCATCCTCCTGGTATCGCCACTCTCACCACTGGTCCTGAGGGGTTCATCTGTCCTGGATTCCCTGTGTTTCCAGTTCCTATCTGTACCAGTATACAACCTCTGGTCCAGCTGGATTTGTAAGGTAGAATTGGGATCATGATAGTGGAGGGTGGGGGAGTATTCAAGAACTGGACGAAAAGTGTATGTTTCATCATTGCTACACAGCACCCTGATTAGTGCGTCTCCTCCCCTCCAGCACATTTTTAATGCAGTTTTTGTGGTAAAATTAGGGGCCTGGGCTGATATTCAGATCTGCTTATACTCAAGTATATACAGTATTCCTCTTCCAAATACCACATTTCCTCCACCACTCTGACACCAACTGTGGTAATAATTTATTTTAGAAGAATTAATGCCTAGTTCCAAGAGTTAGGATATTAAAGATTTTCCACGTGTCCAACTTTTCCAACAATGTTATACCACTCCATTTTCCTCCCTCTTAGTATATCCCTGCATGTCCCTGGGTTCTACAATTTGTTACGTCTCACAGAACTCATGCAACTTTAAGGAAATGACTCACATGGCTGTGGGTGCTACTTAAGTCCCAAATGAGGATTCATTTCAGTCAGATGGCTGGATAAGCTGGAAAAATGAGGGCAGGTGATAGATCACACTCAAGTCCCCAGAACCAAGTCAGGCAGAGGCAAGCCATATACAGGGTTCAGAATCAGGAGCCAAAAAATGTCCCAAAATCAAAGCAGGTCTTCTTGCTTCTATCAATGCATAGTCAGATAATGGAGTCATAAAAGGTAAATCTTTGACGGAGGTGTAGTTTTTATCTTTCGGCAGTCCACACCCCCGAGAAAACACAAGAGCTGATTTGAGCCACACCTTAGTGCAGTGGTTCTCAACCCTCCTAATGCTGAAACCCTTTACTACAGTTCCTCATGCTGTGATGACCCCTAACCATAAAATTATTTT